TGGTGATGGAAGTGGGTCTCCTCCTTACACACTTACCTGTGTCGACCCTGCCGTAGTCCACAAAGATCTGCAGCATGACAGAGCCCAGCAGGTACCCAAAAGCTGGTCCAAATACAGAGATGGCAAACAGGATGGCTGGAAATGGAACAGGGGAGAGGAAGTTGAGAGGCTTGAGAGAGTTTGGTGGCCTCAGATTCCTAAGCTGAGGGGGATTCCTGAGGTGTCACCCCATCTGCCCCCTGACCCTTACAAGTCCACATCTATGGCATCTCTAGGAAGGAAAAAGCCACCATTTTAAAGCTGCTAGCCCAGGGACTGGCCTGTGGGTAGAAGGCTAATGGCCCAAGCAGCAGCTTGTGAGGCCAATGAGCCTGTGGAGCTTGTTTGTCTGGTCAGGGGTGTGGGTCCTGAGGATGCTGAATGTGGCTGATTCTAAGGGAAAGTTTTGGGCATTGAAGTGGTCATCCACAATCTGCTTTGTGTGTGTTTCTTTGAGGCCAACCCAGTCCCTGTCCCTGAGGACACGAGTGCCCTGGTGTATGTCTAGAGGACTGGAGAACAGCAACAGTTGCTGTTGGTTGAGGATTTTTACCCTGTGCGTGGCACAGGGCTAAGTGGTTGCATACATTATCTCATATAATCTCACAGCCGCTCAGTGCAACAAATAATGCTAACTTCATTATGCAGGTGAGGAATCTGGGGCCCTGGAGTTCAGCTATTTGACCAGGAACACATAGCTGGTAGGAAACAAAACTAGCATCGGAACCCAAGTCTGTGTGACCCCCAAACATCTGCACTCATTTGCTCAATTGGGAGAGAAACAGGGTCAGCCCTGGATTCCACCCTCCAGGGGGCTTTGCAAGGACTACTTCAGGACCTGACCTCCCCTGCTCCTTGCAGCCCTCTTCACGCTCACAACTCACAGATGTACAGGGGTGAATTGTTGGGCTCTGCAAAGTCGTCAACGTAGGAGATCCCAAATGGTTGAATGGGCACTGTCCCAATACCGGCTAGCAGCTGGGCAACAACCATCAGGCCCCACATGCTAGTGGTCTCCTTCCGGGTGTCCTGGATCGTGCTATGGCATTTATTGGGGGGCAAGTCTTGCTTGTGCTTCTGACAGAGCTCGGCCTGGAAGTGGCTGCTGTTCCCTGCAATGAGAGCACATGCCAATTGTCACTATCCAGGTCTCCTGGTTCCCCTAGTTGGCCTCTAGACTTGGCTTCTCTTCCAAGTCTCTCGGGGAAGGGCCAACCCTGGGCCAGAGGCTGTGCTGACAAATGCGGATGGTCTCTGAGGACCACGTCCTTCTGTTTGGGTCGGTAGAGAGACTCTACAAATAAAGTTGAGTGTGGCCCCATCCTCCAGAAGGAGCCTGCTCCAATGGGAGAGGATTCTTTCTTTTGTGGGTATCCATTCTTTTTCTTCTCTGGGGCCTGTGAGGAGTTGAACATGGAAGAGTCAACACTCGTCCCTGTAGGAAGGGGTCACCCAGCTGGAAAAGGGTGAGGACAGATAGAAACCCAGATCATTGATTGGCCTGTGCTCAGCTTTGGGATTCTGCCCACCCCCCAGGTGTGGCCCCCTCCATGAGGACAGAGGTCATTTTGTCGTAAAGAAGATGGTGTCAACTCCAGCCTGGGATACATCCCTCTGGATCGTGACTCCCAGAACTGTTCCTCCTAAAATAAGCCTGGTTTTGCACCACACTGGAGGACTTACTGCCAAAGACAGTTAATGTCCGTACCATACCTGGGCAGCTCTCCAAAGTCATAGAATTTTCTGAGGCTGGAAGGGACTTTCAGACCATCTAGTTCAAAGCATCATATTACAGATGGGAGAACTGAGGCTATAGCCAAAGGAGCTAGGCTGCACCTTGAAGCCCTCTTGTGAGGGTCCCAGACACCCCCAGTATGGCCTGCAGGCTGGCCCTCGTGTCTGTGGGCACCTGGCCAGTCTGGGGCCAGCACTTCCACGCCTCTGCTTTTAATTTGGCCAGCACTAAACAATTAGCACTGCAGAGCTCTCCAAGGCCTGGAGGGCTCTTGAGAGTTTGTTTCCATGAGATCCTTTTTTTGTCCTGCCTTGTCCAAGCCAATGGAAACCACTGACATCACCCATCTTGCTCTGTAGGGTTGTTCACTTAATACTAATGCAATTCAGTTTAATTTTCATTTGTGCTGCTCTCAGAAAGGGCATGGCCCTGAGGTAGGTGGGCTTTACAGTCCACATCAAAGGAAAATGAGAGTTGGACACTGAGGTTGCTTCTCACATTGGGCTCTGCCCAGGGCTGATGGGCTCAGTGCTGTGCCCTAATGGTGAGGCTGAGGGGAGAGAGGGTGCTTTTTCCCTTTTCATTGTCCACCTCCCTCCCCACATTTCATCTAGGCTGGTTCCCCATTGCCAGTTCTCTACACTGGCATCTGTATAGAACATGTTTGAAAATTCCTGGCCCAGGGGACTCCCTCATCAATCAGGAAAGCATGTCTGAGGATAAGTCAAGGCATCTGTCTGATCAAGGTCATCTAGACCTAACATCAGCTATAAGCAGGGGACTTACTGAAGATAAGTCCATACTGAAGATAAGCCTGCAGTGCCAGCTTTGTAAAGGCAGAAGATACATTTAAACTTCTCCAGGGATGGAGGAGCAAGGATTGAAAGAGAATTCTCACACCTCTAGCCAAATTCAAACACATGAGCTCTCCTCCCTCACACTCTGTGGGTGACTAGGACTTTACCTCTACACACTTACTTCCTCCCAGGTTGAGGTATTCTAGAAAGGAGCGGCTGCTGGGAATTTGACTAAAATCTGGGACTACAAGATGAAATAAATGCATAGTATAAGGAGTCAATGGAGTATAGGGAAATTGGCTTTAACCCTAGATAGCTGTGTGACTTTGAGTGAGTTACTAAACCTCTCTGAGTCTTAGTTTCCTGGTTACAGAGATTCTCCCTATGGGTCATTAAAGAGCTTGAAGGAGACCCAGGCTTGAGAAGTCAGACCCCACTGGTCAGTCAGCAGATGTAGTAGCTGTGTCCTGACCTTCTGAAGGGTGGCTGATGTGACTCAGCAATGCTGCCAGGGTTCCATCCTCAGAACAGTCACATTAGTCTAGAAGCACAGAATTGTAAAATTCTCTCTTCCACTGAGAGAAACCACAGAGTCTGTCTACCCTACTTCCACTTCACTCAGGGCCTCTTCCATCAACACTGACCTGTGTCCAATAGGCAGTAACAGGGGTGTGGTGCTGGCAGACTCAAGCAGATCCTCAGGAGGAGGTCTGGGCAGTTATGGGTAGGTGAGGCCAACAGATGTTGGAAGGGCTGGACTGGGAGACTGGGATCTGGGTTCTAGCCCTGAATATAACACTTCCTATCTTTGTGACTGTGACTTTGAAAGGTCTCCAAGGATTCTAGGGAGGGGCCGAGCATTGCAGAAGGTGAGAAGGCTGCTGGTCCACATGGCATCCAAGGGCCGTGAAGGGCAGAATGTTAGTGTCAGGCTCACTGCTTACTCCCTGCCCTCAGTGCAGTGGTCACAAAGAGAAGTGTTTACACATCACTGCCCATGCTAGAATGATTGATGGGGTGAGTACCATAACGCTTATATCCTTCCCGTTGCTATTGAGTGAATTCTGACTCATAGTGACCTTAAAGCACAGGGCAAAACAGTCCCATAGGGTTTCCAAGACTGTAAATCTTTATGAAAGCAGACTGCCACATCTTTCTCCCCCAGAGCTGCTAATGGCTTAGAACCACCCACCTTCTGGTTAGCAGCCACGTGCTTAACCACTGTGCCACCAGGGATCCTTCCCATGCCTTTATCAAGACCAGTGGGCATGCTCAGGAAGGAGTGCTGAGTAGGCTGCTGGACCTGGGAAGGGCTGAAACACTTACACAGACCCCTGATCCAGATGGCCGACCAACCTGATGCAGCTGAGCAGTTGCTCACACAGATCAACATGGTGCACTTCTCTGCTCACTTCCCTGAGCCAACTTTGATTAAAGGGCACAAATATACTTTGGGTCCATAAACAAAAGGGCTGCTAACAAGTTTTCAAATGCACATTTCTTCCAGAAGATTCAAACAAATTTCTGGTACATTTTGTACAAAGAGATTGAGCAAAATCTAACATTCCCTAAAACCACAGGCTGTTGTCATTCACAAGTATATTTGGCTGAGCTGCCTTCCCATGACATGTTGTCCCATAGGTTATGGGGTGGCAGGGCCAGATCTATGTCACATGCAAGAGTAATTTAAAGACCACTTGAAGTCAAATGATGACACTGGGAAGAAAGTGCAAAGAATCAGCCCCTCAATGACCAGCTTGAGCTATGGCTCCTTACACCCCTATCACCCTCCTGGCTCCAATGAGGATGATGCCTGCTTCACTGGGGGGAAAACATGAATGCTAAGAGTCCTGAAAATAAATGGCCCTGGACCATTCATTGTTTAGTTACTCAGTTATTTGCCCAATAGTGGCTGTGGGTGGGCATTCTGCTAGGGTGGGAGACATAGAGGTGACTGAGACAGACACAAAGCCTTTGGACCTGATCATCAAACAAGCAACGATAATATTGTCTTGGACCTGCTGAGCCCAGGGAGCATTTGGAAGAGGCACAAAACCTAGTATTATGTGGGTGAGAAGGGTTCTTGGAGACAGTAGCCTGTAGTCTGAGATCAGAAGAATCAACAGGAGTGAACAGAAGTTTGAGGAGGAGAGAGGAACAGTATGTGGGAGGGTGGGAAGTGTGTAGGCACCCTCCACAACGTGAAATAAAGCCCAATTAGGGTAAGGTGTGGCTACTCCTGTAAGGCTTATGTCCTGGGTAGGGAAAAAGGATTGTATTCTAAGAAGATGGAAAACCCCAGAAGGTTGAAGATCATCAAGGAGACAGTGTAATAACAACACATCGGTAGGATTAAGACCAGTTTTTAAGGCTCATGTACAAGGTGGGGAGTTGACTCAATCAGGAGGTACTTAGGTAAGGAAATAGCTGACACTGCACATGGGATGGGGAGAAGAAGGAGCTGCTGGCTGGTGTGGACGGTGAATGCACAGCCCAGAGAGGATGTGTGTAAGATACACAGGCCAGGTTTGTTACACGAGACCCCACCAGTTGCCATCAAATTGATTCTGAGTCACGGCAATTCCATGTGTGTCAAAGTAGAACTGCTCCACGGGGTTTGCAGTGGCTGATTTTTTGGAGGTAGTTCACCAGGTTTTTCTTCCATGGTGCCTGGGGTGGACTCAAATTAACTGTTTGCACAATCCCAGGGCTCTGTTGTACAAGAGTAGGGGGATGAGAAATACCTCTGGAGAAACAAAGGGCCGGAGAGTGAATATTTCTTTTAAGAGTGCTAGTTCTTGATTTTGCTGATTCTCGTTGTTTTACTAAGTTCACATTTATTAGACCATTGCTGCTGGCTTGGCTGGTAAAATTACTTTGGTGGGACATTTAATGATCATTGAAGATCGTAAAAATGTTGACTGCCTTATTAAGTCTTTATTAAGTCTTTACATGGCATGTTGCATGTCATGCCAATGCCATAGAAATGCTCATGAAATGTTACCCAATGAAATGTCCAAGAAGCAAAGAGCTCCAGGGATGATTTGACTGTTATCATTAACTTTAGAAATGTCCAATTACAAGTTAAAAGTGGCTTTTATTAAAAAATGTTTATTTAAAAAAATAACCAATTGGCTCCAATTAAATCCAAGTTTAATGAGGTCTTCTTTGTCTAGTCTGCATTCCAAATTGATTCAAGATCTCTTAACAAAGTCTATTTTCATGATGTCAGTCCTGAATGGGGCCCAAACCCATTCCCAACAGGCTCTAATATCTGTCTGACATAAAAGAAGACAGCAGTTAAACGTAACCACGAAGGACAGGTTTCTTTCATCTGATGACACTTCCCTCATGGAAGCAGCAGTTGTCTGGCCTGCAGACAGGGAGGCTTTGAGCCCTGGAACCAGGAAGAAAAGGACATGGGAGTGGGTAGGGCCTATTCACAAAACACCCTAATCCCCACTTATCCTTGGCTTTATGTAGGGATAGGTGTATATTTCAGAGTCAGACATAGTGTGGGCTTCCCAGAACTCATGCTTGGGGTCTCTTGTAGTGGGTGACCCTGGGCAGTTCACCTGGT